AGAAGAGGATTTTTAGGCCAGTTCTGTTGCATGTGGTCCCTGGGGTGACTGTGCCTCATCCCTCCTCCTTCTCCCTACAATAGTCACAGGCAGTCTTGGTGGCATTGGGGTAATTTTATTATCCTGTATCTCATACTGTGCATGCAAATGTGCTTTTCCATAGCTTGGGACTGTGGAAAGCCTCAGTTAAATGTGTGTTTTGTAAGGGATTCACCCACCCTGTGCTTAAGCGTCATTTACTGGCAGAGCCAGGGGGACATTTTGGAGGGCGAGGTGGCTGTAGGGCTGTTGATACAGAGTTGTCCCAGTTATCCTCCTCTTAGGAAGGAAGCTAGGAAGTTTGGAAGGAGATGTGGATACCTGGGAAGTCATGGATTCAGAGCCATCTGGCTCACTGCAGCTGCTCCATGGTCATTTCCCACAGGGATCGTTCATAGCCAGAGCCTGGAATGCAGAAGGAAGCCGTGTTCTCCTTATGTGTCGCTTCTCACTTGAATTGTTTTAATGCTTTTTTTTTTTTATTCTTAAACCTGCAATCTGAAATTCAGTCATGCAAGTATTAATGAGCTGCTGATCACCCTGCCTCTCTTTTCTGCCCTTGTTCAGTCTCAGATTTACAGCTCTAGTTCAGGATGGAATTACTGACACTGTAATGATCTGTTTTATCTCTCTATCTATTATTTGTCAAATAATTTTAACATGACTGTGCTTACAAGAGCTGTCAGAAATCTTCCAAACACTGAGAAGGATGAAGAAGTCACTGGCCTTTTCAAGTGTGACCCTGGTTGTGTTGCTTTGTTTTCAGGGCTCACAGAAATGACCTTTTCCATTGCCTGTCAAACTGTGACCCAGGTGTGAGGGTTTGAGAGTCCAGGAGCCAGACAAGGCACATTTCAGTCCTGTTGGTTTCGCTCTTGTTTTCTCCATTAACAGATTTCTGTCTGAAAACCAGGGAGGGGAAGGGAAAGAGGCGGAGGGCAAGGTAAGCAATGCTGCCTTGCTGCCTGTTTCTGATACTCAGGTTACGGCACAAGCTAAATAGACTACACTAAATTTTTTAGGCTTTTTCACAGACTTACAGACTTTGATCCCCAGCTTTGATTTCCCAGGCGGCACTGCAGAGCCTGGTTCTGAGCAGTGAAGAGACCCATTAAGCCCCGTCTAGCCCGGTGATTATCATGCCTTCCACCAGCACCGGGCCTTTCATCAGAGCTCATCTCCCTGTGCCTGGGGCGATGCCAGGGCAGGAGGAGCTCTGTGCCAGCACCCAGCCAGGGCCAGCCCCTCCATCCCACTCACCCTGCTTGGTCCTTCCTCACCTGGCTTCAGCAGGATGCCCAGGAGAGGAGGTCACCCATTCTTTCCCAAGGTCTCATGCAGTTTCTGCAACAAGCAGGCCATGAAATAAATATTCTGTGTGTGTCCTTGTCAGAGCAGTAGAGATGAGGGCATTTGCCTGCCTGCCCTGCTCTGTGTCTCCAAGTCCCTGGGTCCCTCTGCACCACTTGGCTTGCTTTTTTTTTTTTTTGTAATTTAAATCTAATTTTGCTGCCTTATTGTAAGTTCCCACCTAACTCCAGAGCTGCTGTCGCCTCAGGGCTGTGTTGCTGCTTTTCAGTCTTCCCACACCCATCGCATGTGCAGTCTGCAAAAACTTTGAGAAGTCTCTCCTAAATTTGTGCACTTGGGGTCGTCCTAGGAGGAGTGGAACAAGGGTATCTCTTAGCAGAGAGTACTCTTGAAAATCCCCTTTGTCTGCAAAGTGGGAACTGCCTCCATGCCAGGAGTTGCCAGCGAAAATGCACAGAATGTGGGCAGCATGGCTGGGAGGCACAAGGAGCTCAGATGTGCAGCGAGGGCCACATCTAGAGGGGATGTGCTGTGACCCACAGCCAGGCTGGGCCCCCCCAGGCCAAGCTGGGGCTGTTCAGCACATAGGGGTCTCTTCTGGGAGCTGCATGGGGCTTGTGTTGAATCCCTGCAGCCTGTGGCTGTTCCTCACCTGGGATAGGGGCTGGGTCATCTCATCAGTGCAGCACACCCAAACCTGTGCCATCACTGCAGTATTATGGGATGTCACCATAGGCTGGCCCAGCCCTGCTCCAGCCTCAGACTCCCATTTCAGTGAATTTTGTTGCAGATGCCACCATCCTGTCTCCATTAACAGATTAGCATGGCTGAATTTCCCATGTGAGCGCTCCACAGTCTGTCTCATTGTGTTTATTTTGTTCAGGCTGCTTTTCTCTGGGCTTGACAGTATAATTTGTACAGATCTCTGCTGAGTTTTCTAAACCTTCAAACAAGCTTTTTTGTTAGTTTGAAGCCAGGACCATTGATAGCAGAGGCAGAGCAACAGGAGCACTGAGAAGCGAGCGGCACACCCACCAGCCAGGAAGGCTCCCTCACCTCTGCAGCTGCTCCTTGGCAAAAGCTCCATGGTTCAGAGATTTTAATTAGATCAAATCCTCCAGGTGACCAGCCAAGTATTAAAGGCATACCAATTTCTCAGTTGTGTCTCTTGCTGTAAGAGTTTTTATTATTTATTTTAGAGAGATGTGACTAAAGAGCTTGGATATCCTAAATGTGCTGTTCTCCTTGAATGGCACCAGGAGGTCTCCAGCCCAAGGGATTGTCCTTTCAGTGCATTTCTACTCAGCAAAGCGCCTTCCTGCAAGCTGCTTCTGCACTTGTCTAGTCTCCATTGTCCAGAGGGACTTGCACATGAGCCCAGAGAGACTTGCACATGAAATGGAATCAGATTTTTGGACCACATGCTGTTGGGGCCAAGGCTGTGGCTGCAGGTTTGGCTGGAGCTGAATGAGAGCCCCAGCTGTGGGCTGAGGGAAATGGCTTTGGGCCCAGGAGTGGCCTGGGGACAGGTGAAGTTTTAGGGCTTGTGCTGTTTGCCTCTGTTGACTCCCCAAATCAGTGCCCAGCCCATTCAGAGATGCCATAGAAGGATCATTGCACAACGTATTGGGGTGGAAAATCACATCCTGTTTTTGCAGGACCCTTCTGCACCTCCTGGCATGGGGGAGTTGGGGATGGACTCTTTATGGTGGATGTGTCAGGTCCCACCTGACCCAGGCACTGCAGAAGCTGGTTTGCTTCCAGGGATGCTGCAGGGCTGGTACATGGGGGTCTGAGAATTGTGCTGCAAAAATCTCATCTGCAGGATGATCCTGGAGCTCCTGGGTTTGTTCTTTCTCCCTCCTGCCCTGTCTGGGCAGGTCACAGATGCCCCCACCTTGGCAGGGTGCCTGTGCCATAGCTGTGCCTGGATGTCTGCTGCAGCAAGTGGGTGAGGAGGGAGAAATCAAAGGTGGCTTTCAACAAATGCCCTTTTCCTGCCCTGAGGTCAGCCTGGCAAGTCAGGCATTGCCAGCTGGGAAGTCCCACACTGGATTTGCTCTGAGCAATGGTTTTAACTCCAAGCTTCTCCTTGTCCAGTTCCATTTGTCTCTGGTTTTGTTTCCTTATGACCCTGCCTGCCTCTGTGTCTCTTATTTCACGGAGGGGCTGGGCCCTGGCTGCTGCAGCCGCTGCAGGAGCTGCGGGAGCTGCGGGTGCTCCAGCAGGGCCATGACCATCGTCTGGCACGGTGCCATTGCTGCTTCAGAGCCCAGCAAAGGCTGGAGTGCTGGAGCTGCTCCTGGAGCATGGGAGCGCTGGGATCAGGGATCAGACAGCTGGCACACTGTGCCCTGACTGTGAAAGCCCTGCCAAGGAGGGAGCCTGGAGGGTCTGATGGCTCCACCACCAAATCATTAGAAGTGGGCTTGCAATGTGTCCGTGTGGATGGTCTGTGTGTGTGTATCTGTCTGTCCCTGGGCAGCTGCTGACATCCTGACCTGAGGTTTCAGCCTGTCCTGGCAGGCAGGAGGGTGGATTTATCCACAGTAGTTCTCGGAGGGGAGCTCTTGCTGTGAGAGGTGTGTGGGTGATCAGCACACTCGCAGCAAGTGAGGAGAGGGAAGCAGGAACTGGAATATGAAGGCTGTTCAGGAGTGGATGTGATGTGGAGTGAGAGGATTCACAGAACCAGGGAGCCACAGGAGAGGGCTCCTTGCTAGAGGATGCCAGGTGGGATGGGGAGTGTGGTGGGAAGGCCCAGGTGACCTAGTGTGCCCTCCCCACACCTGCTGCCTTCATATCAGGTGTGTTTGAAATGGCTGCAGGGTTTGTACCTTCTCCATAACCATGAGCCAAGATTGGTGAGAGCTGGGGGATTTTGTTTTGGGATCAGGCTGGATTGACTCATGTTCATGTCCACTGTGGGGTGGAAATAGAATTAAATAGAACCACTGAAGTTGGAAAATCCCTCCCGGACCATTAAGTCCAAGCTGTGCCTGATCCCCTCCTTGTCCCCAGCCCAGAGCACTCAGTGCCAGCTCCAGCCTTTCCCTGGACACCTCTAGGGATGGGCACTCCAAACCTCCCTGAGCAGCTCCTCCCAATCCCTGAGCCCCCTTTCCATGGGGAAATTCCTGCTGCTGCCCACCCTGAGCCTGCCCTGGCCCAGCCTGAGGCCGTTCCCTCTCCTCCTGTCCCTGTTCCCTGGGGCAGAGCCCAACCCCCCGGCTGTCCCCTCCTGTCAGGAGCTGTGCAGAGCCACAAGGTCCCCCTGAGCCTCCTTTGCTCCAGGCTGAGCCCCTTCCCAGCTCCCTCAGCCTCTCCTGGGGCTCCAGCCCCTTCCCAGCTCCCTCAGCCTCTCCTGGGGCTCCAGCCCCTTCCCAGCTCCCTCAGCCTCTCCTGGGGCTCCAGCCCCTTCCCAGCTCTGTTCCCTGCCCTGGACACGCTCCAGCCCCTCAGGGTCCTTCTTGCCATGAGGGGCCAGAACCGGGCACAGCCCTCAGGGGCCTCAGCAGGGCCAGCTCAGGGGACAGACCCTGTCCTGGTCCTGCTGCCACCCCAGTGCTGGTACAAGCCAGACCAGGGTGCCTCCCAGCTTGCCCTGCCCCACTCTGTTGGTGACCTGCCTTATGCTTTCATCCCTGCAGCAACCCCAAAGTGCAGATCGAAGCCATCGAGGGGGGTGCCCTGCAGAAGCTCCTGGTTATCCTGGCCACAGATCAGCCCCTGGCTGTCAGGAAGAAGGTGAGGAGTGGGGCTGCACCTCTGAGCAAAGCTGGGTTTGTGCTGAGCTCTGTGTAAACACCCTCAGGACATCACGGCCATCTGGAGGGTGTGGGATCCCTGCTGCCCCCCAGGCTGGGTGGGCTTCACTCCCAGGGGTGCAGAAGGGGGGCTCTGGGTACCAAGGCACCTCAGCAGCACCGGTGGAGCCTGCACTCCCCTGGCTGTGGGTGTTCTCCCAGTGCCAGCAGTGGCTCTGCCAGCCTGCACGGACAGCACGGTGCCACAGATCCTGGGGGGCACAGGTGAGGGTCCCCACGGCAGCAGAGCCATCACAGGCTGACAAACACGGGAGCTGACGTTTGGAGGAACTAATTGCTGCAGTCAGCCCCATGTCCTGCCTTTGGCAGAGGCTTTGGAGCAAGGAGCAGCACCGAGAGCCCCAAGCCAAATGTGCAGTGCTGTCCATCGGGCTGGGGGCTTCCTCGCCCCCTCCCTCTCTCCCTACTGTAGTCCCTGGAGCATGAGATCCCATTACCTTCACTTTAGTGTGTGATGCCACCTCTGTAACACCACCTGGCTGCTCCCAAACCCTCAGCCCTGTTTTCCACAAGGGGCCTCCTGCATGAGGGGTCCAGCAGGGTGGGGAGACCACTGGCTCTTCCTTCCACCTGTAATGAGCTCTCTAAAATATGTTCTCTTTAACCCTGGTAAGAGTCCTCCAGCAAGTGAAAGGCACAGGAGAAAGCTGTGGAATCCCATTGCATTTGGCCATGGATGTGAGGAGATCCCACGGGCTGATCCATGCTTAGAAACTCCTCCCAGGAGCGCCTGTGGCTCAACCCAGAGCTCCTTTTGGAGTGGGGAGGGATGGCTGGGCATGCCGGGCTCTCACACACTGCTGTGAACCAGAGGAGCTCTTTCCAGTGACCTGAGTGCGTCGTGCTGGCAGAAATGAGAGGGGTGGGCTCAGTATTGTCCACGTTCACACACAGCTGTAAGAGACCCTCCAAGGGTTGAAGCCTGTTTTCCAGGAGGACAGAGGTGCTAGTTCCCAGTTCCCGTGCTGTGTGCAGTGTCCTGTGTCTCAGACAGGTTCCCAAGGCCAGGCTGTGCCCCAGCCCGTTCCTCACAGGGCAGCAGCCCCGCGCTCCCGCTCCGGTGGCTTTTCTGCCCCGCTGCTCACAGCCCTGCACGGCGGCGAGGCCAAAAGTGCATTTCCTCCCTCCACCGTCCTCTGGTCCACCGTTCAAAAGGGAGACAGCAGCATCGCAAATTCACCAGCAGCAAGGCGGAAAATGGAAAATAGAAGCGAAGGGGAGCGGGGAGACGCGGCTGTCAGCTCGGATCAGGCGGCGGGCCCGGCCCCAGGGCGCTGCCCCGGCCGTGCCCGCGCTGCAGAGCCGGCCTGG